AACATCACAGGTTGGACAGATGGATAGAGCTGGCTTTGACTGCTTGTGTGAAACAGGGCAAGTTACTTACTCTCTCTGACCTCCTGTGCAAATTGGAGAACTTAACAGAAACTACCACATCTGCCGTAGTGAAGTGATAATGCGTGAGGCTCAGCAAGGTGTCTGACATCAGTGCTCCTTCAATGTTAACTATTACTTGCCCAAGGGCAGAAGGCTGGGAGAGCCGTTTTGCCTCTGACAGGGGAAACTAAGAGAGGCTCCGTCCAGGGAATAATGGAGCCTGAGGACTGGCGTGCAGATGAAGGCCATTCTTCCATGACAGACTGTCATCCCAAGAGAGGTAGTCACTGACATTATTAGATAAGCCACCATGCGAGGAGACACCGAGGAGGAGTGGCAGAGGGCTGAGGCTGGGCTCTGAGATCAGCCAACACTTGAATTGCAGGAGAGGTATTTAGGCATTGGGTGACTAAGTGAGCAAGCATAATGCATGTCTGTCTCAGAAACAAGAGGGCAGATAGCAGGAGGGGAGCAGCATCAGCTTTGTTTCTGAGGTCAATGAGAATGGAGAAGTTGCTGGGCTTGGCAGAATTAAGGTGCTAATACTTCCCACTGAATCAAGATGATGGTTCCATTATGGCTGTTATTACTGCTGTGGCATACAAAGATGAGCCTGAGAGAGGTTGCCCACTGTGCAGAAGAGGAGACAAATCCACGTATTTCTGTGCAGAGGATTTGGCTGACTTTAATGGGCACAAAGTGTCATAGTGATTTATGAGCTCACAGAGATGGTACTGTTTGTATTGGGCCTTGAAATTTGAATAGGCTTTTGATAGACGTGGGGGCGAAGGCATTCCAGGTAAAATAGATCATGTAAAGAAAAGGCTGGGAGGTGTGAAAATGCAAATCCCAGAGACTGAGAAGTGTGACCAAAATAAGGCATGTAGGCCCTAACCAGTTTGGCTCAGTGGATAGAGCGTCGGCCTGCAGACTGAAGGGTCCCAGGTTTGATTCCGGTCAAGGGCTTGTACCTTGGTTATGGGCACATCCCCAGCAAGAGGTGTGCAGGAGGCAGCTGATCGATGTTTCTCTCCCATCGATGTTTCTAGCTCTCTATCCCTCTCCCTTCCTCTCTGTGAAAAATCAATAAATAAAATAAAATAAGGCATGTAGGACCATGTGGGTAAATAAAAGCAGATCCAGGCAATATTTTGAAAGTCTATCAATACCATACCAAGGAGTTAACTTTCTAGGAAATAGTCATTAAAAGTTTTTGAAATGGGTGAGACATGATGATATCTCTACACTAGATGGAGTGCAGGAAGCCTGAGAGACAGCGGGACCAGTACAGACCTGAAGATGGGTGGTGGTCTGAGGAACTGGGCAGTCAGGAGAAAGGGCAGTCTTCAGAGAGAGGGGGCTTGACAAGGAGTGAAGGGGGCACACAGGCAGTTTTGAGCTGGGTGGTTAGGCAGAGGTGGCACCACCCACAGGCCAAAGATCATTAGATGGCTGAGTGAGCCAGCATAATGCAGGAGGTGGCTCCAGTAGGTGTGGGTGGGAGTGAGCTCTGGATAGAAGGAGTGAGGGATGGTCAATTTACAGTTGGGTCCTAGATGGCTCCTGATGCCATTACCCAAAATATTTGGATATGAGATGTGTTTGATTTTAACTGTGGCACGGTTTAGGTTCCTGAGAGCTAAAGTTTAAAAACCAACCTCACTGAAGTATAGTTAATGTATAACAAACTGCACTCACTTGAATATAATGAATTTTGACAAATATACACACCTGTGCAGGCTCAGCTTCCTAGGCATGTGACCAAGGATCACACAGGTGCTACTCTCAGAAGGTCCCTGTGCTTGGGTTTTAATGCTCTTGAGTTCACAATCTTGAAATTCTTATCTTTGAATTTGTGTTTTGTAATTGAAGTTCAGTGGGGACAATGAACTGTGCTGGGTGGAGGAGCTTGGAGCATGAACTCCTATTGAGTCTCATCTGTCAGCCCCCACTCCATTAACCCTGACGCCCACCCAGTCCACCTCCACCCCCAGCCTCAGGGGCAGGCTGGTACCCAGGTCTCAGGGCAGAGTACAGCTGCACCCCAGCACATTCAGAGAATGACATGTGAGCATCTCACTCATCAGGTTTCAGGTATCAAGTACATCCCAGCACAGAAGTTGCACTTCCCACGCCGAAACCGGTTTGGCTCAGTGGATAGAGTGTCGGCCTGCAGACTGGAATGTCCCTGGTTCGATTCGGGTCAAGGGCATGTACCTTGGCTGCGGGCACATCCCCAGTGGGGGGTGTGCAGGAGGCAGCTGGCGGATGTTTCTCTCCTATCGATGTCTCTCACTCTCTATCCCTCTCTCTTCCTCTCTGCAAAAAATCAATAAAATATATTTAAAAGAAGAAGAAGAAGAAGAAGAAGAAGAAGAAGAAGAAGAAGAAGAAGAAGAAGAAGAAGAAGAAGTTGTTGCACTTCCTTGGAGGTCACCGATAGTGGATGGCAGCCCACGAGTAAGGAAGGTACCTAAAAATGGGAGTGAGTGTCCCTGTTCCCTGAGGAAATACAATATTAAATAGCAATCAATCAATCAATAAATAGTCTGATAGGTTGGTAGAGACCACAAAAAAAAAAAAAGGAAGGGTTTCATAATTTAGTACCTTTAGTGGCATTTTTCTCCTGCTTCCCTACATTTTCATGTTGTACTGGGCCAGGCCAACTAGGTAGCCAGCCCTGCACTGGTATAACTACCACTACAGTCAAGATACAGACCTTTCCATCACTCCCAAACTTTCCTCCTAACCCTCTGCAGAGTCAACCCCTCTCCCTCCGCTGGATGTGCACACACACACACACACACACACACACACACACACACTCCGTGCCATTCCCAACCACTGCATTTTAAAAACGTGGAGCAGGGCCTGGGCCTCCTCTCAGGAATCGAGGAAAGCAGGGCCAAAACAGATCCGGAGTGACCCCAAAAAGGGTGAACCTGAGAGAGCTGTGATGATCCAAAGAAATGTGGGGAGTGTGCCCCCACCCAGGGATTACGAGGGGCCAGCAGAGGAGGAAGCCACGGCAGAGGACAGGAGAACGTGCTTTATAATGGGCACAGGGACTCGTGGAAAAACTACTAGGTAAACTGAAGGTAGTTGGAAGTTGGCTGTGTGGGTGAACGATTAGGGAAAGGATTGTGAGGGTATAAATGGCCGTGGGAAGCCAGGCCATCAACTACAGAAGGCAAACAAAACACCCATCCTTGGATGCAGAGCCTTTCAGGGCCCCGCCTGTTTCCTGGTCCAGTTTTCTTTCCCTGCCTTCGCCTGCCATGCCCTGACCCTGACCTTGGCATAGTCGACTGCTCCTGATCATCCAAATCTCAGTTTAAACACGACCGCCTCAGACCATCCCAGTCACCAATGTAAAACAGCACATCAGCCGAAACCAATTTGGCTCAGTGGATAGAGCGTCAGCCTGCAGACTGAAAGGTCCTGGGTTCAATTCCAGTCAAGGGCATGTACCTTGGTTGCGGGCACATTCCCAGTAGGGGCTGTACAGGAGGCAGCTGATTGAGGATTCTCTCTCATCGATGTTTCTCTCTGTAAAAAATCAATAAAATATATTTAAAAACAAACAAACAAAAAACAGCACATCAATTTAATAGACCCAATATAATACCCTCTGTCACATCTATTATCTTTAATGTCTGCCCTGTCCTTCATTTCAATATCACCCCCACCCCAGAAAAAAAAAAAAATACCCTGAAGAACAAGCACTTTGACTCATGCAGGGAAGCATTCCCAGGGCCTAGAACTCAGTGTCTGGCAAGTGGAGGATGATCAATAACTGTTGAGTAAAAAGAAGTAAGCCAGGCCCTGGCCCTGTAGTTCAATGGGTCAGAGCATCATCCCAATAAGCCAAGGTTTGGGGTTTGATCAGTTTGATCCCTGGTCAGGGCCCATACAAGAACCAACCAGCCCAGCAGTGTGGCTACATTGACCAATGAACCAGGAGGTCTCGGTTCTATGCCCGGGTTGTGGGTTCGATGTCCAGCGTGGGGCATGCAGGAGGTAGCCAAACAATGATTCTCTCTCATCATTGATGTTTCTATCACTCTCACCTTCTTCCTTCCTCTCTGAAATCAATAAAAATACATTTATATTTATTTTTTAAAATCCACCAATGAATGCATAACTAAATGGAACAACAAATCCAAGTTCCCCGCTTTCCTCCCCTTCCTCTCTCTCTAAAACCAATCAATATTTTTAAAAGGATAACGTCATTTAAAAAGAAGAATGACGGCACTGCTCCCAACCTGTAGCCTTCCCCTCAGAGAGGAGGATGAACTCCAGAGGGTGGGAGCGGACTGCACCTCCTCTACCCCTTCTTGCCTAAACCCACGCAGATTATAGGAACTTTCAGACTCTTACGCATCGGGGGCCTGTATCAGGTTCTTTCACAAACATTTCCCCACGCTATTCTCACTTCACCTCTCAACAGCTTTCTCTCACTTTCCAGGAGGTCGTGGCGTCTCCTGGGACTTTTCCAAGGTCGGCCAGCTGAGTGGCCAGGCTCAGACTCACTCCGGATGCTGGGCCCACTCCGGCACCAGTACCACAGACACCCAGCACCGCCTTGGCGGTACGGAGCTTGGTCCAGCCGCCCAGGTCCAGCCGCCCCACGCCGGGCCGGGTTCTGGTCGCCACAGCGCGAGTACAATGGGCCCTGCCAGGCCGGCCGGCCCGCAGGGCACAGGGTTTCGCTAAAAGGAAGGCGGCGCGGGTTCCAGGACGCGCGCTGGGCTGGACACTTGAACGCGGACCTCGGTATCCTGGCAACGAGTAAACAATCGCGGGCCCGCCCCCGCAGCGCCCCCTGGCGTTCGTTCTCCGGCCGCCGGCGGCCGCCGCGTGTCCCTCGCGCTCGGTGCTCGCTGAAGCCCGGGGTCTGCAGCCCGTGACCTCGCGCCTCCCGAGGCGGTGCTCGTGGCTCGCAGCCCATACAGCTCGCCGGGGCAGCCGGGTTAGAGGCCTGGGCAGGTCCCGGAGGGCGAAGGAGAAAGCCGGGTGCGCGGCAGGAATGGGCGCGGGGACGCCTCCCCTAGGTGACACGGAACACTGGGGGCGCTGTCTTCGTTTCAGGATTGGGGATACATGCCACACTCACCTGCTCAACTGAGAAAGGAGATACCATGGTAACAACACACGCCTTTTCTTAAGAATAAGAGGTCCCGAGGCTCTCGCTAAATGAGTTTCACACCGTCTGTCCGCCTTGTAGAGTCAGCCTTTAGAGAGATCTGTCTGTCCCGCCGCGAGGCTGGACACCCCCTCGCGCTTGGGCGGTGTCCAGCCCAGGGATCTGAATGAACTTGGGGTGAAGGGGGGCGGGTTCCCCAGGGAGAGAGAGGACTGCAGCATCCGAACCAGGCCGAGCCCGCTCCGAGTTGGTTGGTTTTCACTTCTTCGTTCTGTTGAGCCACTTATTGCACCCAGAAGATGGGTTATGTGTCAGAGAGGCTGGCCACGTGGTGTGGAACCCCTCGTCGCCAGCAGGGACTGGCCAGGCACTTAGCTGCCGCTGCCCTGGTCCTGTGCGGGGTTCTTATCTGTGGATTTTAAAAATGAGCCCGGCCTGAGCCAGTGCAGCTCAGTGGTTCTGCCTTGACTCACGCACCAAGAGGTCGCAGGTTGGATTGGCCCCCAGGACACATGCCCGGCTGGTGGCTCAATCTCCAGCAGGGGGCATGCAGGAGGCAGCGGGTTGATGTCTTTCTCATTGATGTTTCTGTCTCTCCCTTTCCCTTCCCCTAATAAAATCAATAAGAATATATTTTAATTAATTAATTAGCTAATTAATTAATTAAAAATGAGCCCAGGTGCAGCCTGGACTGCTGGCTAATTTTAAGGAATTCCAGTGTAAGGAAAGGCTTTGGAGGAGACGTTTTATGTAAAATATTTTTGCATTTTTAAAAAATATATTTTACTGATTTATTTATTTATTTATTTATTTATTTACAGAGAGGAAGGGAGAGGGATAGAGAGTTAGAAACATTGATCAGCTGCCTCTTGCACACCCCTTACTGGGGATATGCTTGCAACCAACGTACATGCCCTTGACCGGAATCGAACCCGGGACCTTTCAGTCCACAGGCCGATGCTCTAGTCACTGAGCCGAACCAGTTAGGGCAAATATTTTTCATGTTATGCCCAGGAAAACTTGCAACATCCTTCATCTCACTTCATGTCATTGGCTCACACGTTAAACCTCAAACTTCAAACCTCCATTTCAACCTCCTGCTGCATCTCGCCCCCAGAGAGCCTTTTCAAACTGCGTTAAAAATCCAGCTCTTTTAAACACTGCCTTCTCTGGCCTCATCGGCTCGCTCCAATAGCACGGTCTTCCTCTGGCCTCAAACACAAGCTTTCCTACTCCTCAGCCTTCATCCACTCTCCTGCAGCTGCTTCCCCTCCTAACTGCCACTGGTTGTCAGCCCTCTGCCATCTGCCGGGATTCTGGCAGCAGCCTATGTCCAGGCGACACCCAGGGGTTCTCCATCTCCTTTGTCCTCGCTCTTCTGAGCTGGTTTCCATATTAGACCAGTAACCCAGGCCGATGTGTGCCCACCCAGGGCCAGGCCCCGAGGGAGGCAGCCAGAGGACTGGGGTCCTGCCCTTGAGTTGTGGGCTAGACCCAGTGTGGGACATGCAGGAGGTAGCCAATCAATGATTCTCTCTCATTGATGATGTTTCTATCTTTCTCTCCCTCTCCCTTCCCCTCTGAAATCAATAAAGAAATACTAAAAAAAAATAGAATGTATTAGTTGATCCAAAAAAGATTTAAAAAGAAATATCTTAACAGTTTATTTTTTAAAAGAAGAACATTGATTTGTATATCTTTTATTATTTTTTCTTCTTTATATATTTTTATTAATGTCAGAGAGAAGAAGGGAGAGAGAGAGAGAAATATCAATGATGAGAGAGAATTATTGATTGGCTGCCTCCTGCATGCTCCATACTGGGGATTAAGCCTGCAACCGAGGTATGTGCCCTTGACCAGAATTGAACCCACAACCCTTCTGCAGGCCAACGTTCTATCCACTGAGCCAAACCAGCTAGAGGCAACAATTTATTATTTTTAATATGTTTTTATTGATTTTTAAAAAGAGGAAGGGAGAGGAAGAAGGAGATAGAAAATTCATGTGAAAAACATCAATCGACTGCTTCCCGCCCCTGCTGAGGATCCAGCCCGAAACCTGGGTATGTGCCCTGACTGGAATCGAACCGCTGACCTCTTGGTGTATGGGACGATGCTCAGTCCACTGAGCCACACTGGCAGAGCTGAAGAATTTATCAGTTTGTTCTTTTACAGTTGTGCTTTCCATGTCATATCAAAGAAATCTTTGCCTAACCCAAGATCACAAAGGTTTTCTCCTCTATTTTCTTCCAGAGGTTTTTTAGTTTCTGTTTTTTATTTAGCTCTATGAGCCATTTTGAGTTAACTTTTGTATATGGTGCAAGTATGGATTGAGGTTCATTTTTTTCCAAATTGATATCTATTGTTCCATCTACATTCACTAGAAAGTTACCCTCGCTCCACTGAATTGCTTTGGCACTTTTGTTGAAAATCAGTTGTTCCTGTATGTGTGGATCTACTTCCGGGCTCCATTGTGTCCCACTGAGCTTTGTCTCTTCACACCAATGCTGTACTGTCTGGATACTGTAGCTTTATAACAATTCTTGAAATAAAGTATGAGCCCTTTAACTTTGATCTTCTATTTCAAAGTCCTTTGAATTTCCATATGAATTTTAGATCGACTCTCAACCACTGAGCCACGTGGGCCAGGAAGGGAATTTTAGAATCTTCTACAAAAAGATGAGCACTCTGAATAAAAGTATCAGCCCTCTATCTTATGTCCTTTGAATTTCCATATGAATTTTAGAATCAGTTTGCCAGTTTCTACAAGATGAAAACTGTGAATAAAAATGGCAAACTTTTGTGTGAATTTTAGTTCTCAAACCTTTTTAGATATCAAAATGCTTTTTTTTTTTTTTTTTGCAGTGATTCCAGGTATGTCAAGTATGGTTGACATGCAAGAGAAGTATAAAGTCATTTAAAAAAGCCCAGTTCCCAAATCTTTAAGAGCTTATGGGCATACATACATTCATCCCCAGGGGCAGATTTTCTCAGGAGGTGCAGTTATTTTCCAGTTTTCAGATCCTTTCTTTGCCATTTGGATTTCATCACACAAGGCAGGCCTCTGTGTTACAAGATGCTTCTCATCTTTATTTCTGGGTTTTGTGTTTAGGAATGCACTCTATTTCACCTAACAAAAGTATGTTTTAGTGTTTTTAACACATCAACTATGTTTCTTCTTGTTTAGCTCGGGACATTTTTAAGATGCCATGCTCTGAACAGAGCATCTATTTTACCCGAATATTTAGCCATTGCAGGTGTCCTTAATAACGTATCCATTCCTCTGCTTCCCCTTGCCCAGAACAGACACTTTCTAAATAATGCACTTCCAGCTGTTAGTTTCTGGGTAGAGAGTCATAGGACACAGAGAAGTCGCCTCAGCTCCGTGCAGCTCCAGCAGGACTCCGGGATTGTCTACTCCAGGTTCTGGTAGTAACCTTCCTTTTCCAGCGCACATTGGCCTGGCAGTGCCATTGTGGCAAAAACACAGGCACTGAGCCCGGTGGATGTCGATTTGCCATGACTTTGCTGAGCTGAATAATACCTACTTCCCTTGATATCCATCTCTGAGAATTAGCTGTGATAAAGTGATGGCATTAGTCATTTACTGAGTGCTTGCTTACGCGGTGCTAAGTACCTTATATTCATGTCTTAGTCCTCACGGCTGCTTAGTCCTCATGGCTGGAGGTTACCACATATGTAAAGCCAAAATATGTCTTTACATCCTGATTATCAAGTGTTTTTTGTTTAACTTTTAATATGAAAGTTTCCATACATACACAAAAATATAATAGTAAAATGATTATTTACAAATTATTAGGGTTTTGCCACACTTGCTTCATCTGTCTTTTAGGGGTGGAAACTGCAGTATTTTAAAGCAAATCTTGCCCTAACCAGTTTGGCTTAGTGGATAGAGTGTCGGCCTGCGGACCGAAGGGTCCCGGGTTCGATTCCAGTTAAGGGCATATACCTTGATTGCAGTCTTCTCCCCAGTCCAGGCCTTGGTCCAGATGCATGCAGGAGGCAACCACTCAATATGTTTCTCTTACATAGAGATTTCTCTGTCTTTCCCTCTTTCTTCTACTCTCACTAAAAATCAATGGAAAAATATCCTGGGGTGAGGATTTAAAAAAAAAAAAAAAAGTAAATCTCACCCTGACAGTACAGCTCAGTGGTTGGGTGTCAGCCTATGAACCAGGAGGTCACAGTTTGATTCCAGGTCAGGGTACATGCCCAGGGGGCGTGGGCTCAATCCCCAGCGTTTGGTGTGCAGGAGGCGGCTGGTCAACGATTCTCTCTCGTCATTGATGATTCTCTCTCTCCCTCTCCCTTCCTCTCTGAAATCAATAAAAATAATTTTTTAAATAAAATAAAGCAAACCTTAGGCCTCCTTTTATTTCATGCCTACTGATGTTCATGTCCCACTCTGAAATGTGTAAACATTTTTTTCATGACCCAGTGCCAATATCAGACCTAACAGAATTAATAATTTTTCAATATTATCAAATTTCCCAAGTTTGTTCCAAACAAAATGCACACAAGAGCCTCGGCTGGGTAGCCCAGTCAGTTAAAGGGTTCTGATAAGTCAAGGTCACAGGTTCCATCTCCCATTAGGGCACATAAAGAAGTAACCAAATGAATGCACAAATGAGTGGAATAACAAATAGGTCTCTCTCTCTCTCTCTCTCTCTCTCTCTCTCAAATATAAAAATAAAAATAAAAATAAAAATAAAAATTAATAGAATGGCAACAAGATCCCCACATGCATTAGGCTGGGTTTCCCTTAACCTAGAGGTGCTTTGCATATGTTTGGTGACTGCCATGGCTTGTGTCCCACCCCCCCTTCCCCCACGCCATGCACCACTTTTGGTTCTCACCATTTTTCCTTTTAGGAATGTATTTTTTCTTACGTTCCATAGGCTATGTTGAACGTTATGTCAAGGTGATGAGAGCTAATGTTGCCCCGTCTGTCTCCTTGTCTTTAAAGCCAGGGAAAGGGAAGCGAGGAAAAGGCCGGGGCAAGCGCGGGAAGAAGCAGAAGAAGCAGGAGGTGGACATCCTCAGCCCCGCGGCGATGCTGAACCTCTACTACATCGCCCACCACGCGGCCGACTGCCTGCACATGCGGGGCTTCCGCTGGCCGGGCGACCCCAAGGCGAAGAAAGGGAAAAACAAGACTTAGGGGATAGCGTTCCGCGGCACATCTCTCCCACAGAGCAGGATCGAGGGAGGAGGAGGCGGGCTACACACCCATTGCAAGCAGCGTGGACTTGCTAACGGCAACCGGAGAGGGCAGCTTTCTGCGGCAGGGAGTGGTACAGAGGTGCGTTCCACTTCCTCAGCTCAACTCGGGTATGGCTAGCCAGTCTGGTTCTTCAGAAGTTAGGGGGGCAAGACTGAGTAGGACTTAAAAATGTCACTGCAATCCTGGATCCGAATTAAACCTTGCTCTCAAAAGGCAGTTCTCACTCGAGTGCGCTTTCTTTCGTCAACGCGGCTTTGTCTTTTAGAGAAGACGGCGAAAAGCCCGGGATCTGCTCGAGAGCATGCTGCTTGTGAGCACTGTTTCCTGTCCCTGGCTTTTTCGGGGGAAATGATACGTATATTATTATTATTATTATTAATTAATTTTTTTTTTACAAAGAGGAAGAGGGTCAGAGAGTCAGAAACATCGATGAAAGAGAAACATCGATCAGCTGTCTCCTGCACACCCCCCAATGGGGATGTGCCTGCAACCAACATGCCCCTGCCTGGAATCGAACCTGGGACCCTTGAGTCTGCAGGCCAACGCTCTATCCACTGAGCCAAACAGGTTTCGTCCCCATCACTATTCTTACCCTCCCTCTCTGGACGTCACCTTCAGCAGGTGACCTGATCTCCCTTTTAGGGGAAAGTGTCCCTACCCCACACGTTTCTGAGTCTCGCTCCTCCTCTGAAGGGCACAGGAAGAGTTCAAAAAGAACTAGTTTCAGCCCTAGCTGGTTTGGCTCAGTAGATAGAGCTTCGACCTGCGGACGGAAGGGTCTCGGGTTTGATTCCAGTCAAGGGCACATGCCTGGGTTCTGGGCTCGATTCCCAGTAGGGGGCGTGCAGGAGGCAGCCAATCAATGATTCTCTCTCATCATTGATGTTTCTATCTCCCTCTCTTTCTCCTTTCCTCTCTGAAATCAATTAAAAAAAATTCTTTTAAATATTCAAAACAGAAAGAGTTTTGAAGTCTCCTCTCCGTGGAAAGTTCTTCCTTAGTCCAGTCCCCCAGCCCTAAAGGCTCCCATTTCACCACAGTGACCACCCCTGACCCGGCACCTTCATTCCTCCAGCCCCGTGGGGTGACCACCAAGGCGTTTAACCCCGCGACCGTACTCAGCGATGCAGCCCGCTCTGCAAGCACAGACACAGCACAGAGCTGCCCGGCCCTCCTGCCCCGGGGAAAGTGAGGCCATAACCAAGGAAGCAGAGAAACCATTAGTGGAACTTTAAGAGCTGATGGTTGAATATTGTTTCTATTTTACATTTGAAAAATAACTTATTATAAACATTCCCAAACTCACACGAGCAGAAAGGAGTCCACAAACCCCCCAGCTCGGACACCCTCTCACATTCAGTCATTCATCTATGTCCCCCTGCGTCTCTCCAGAGCAGGTGAAAGCAAATCGCGCACCTGCCATTCTTTCCCTGAACACCTCCGTTTCCTACCGTCCCAAACAGGTAAATTTACCCTCAAACCCTTCCCTAGATGGGGGCATGTTCATATCACCAGGTAGGAAAAAGCCCAAGAGTGCACCAAATATGTCAAAACGTCGTCAGAGCGGCTCTCCAGACTTTCAAGCTCGCTGTCTGTGCCAGCTGCTCCCTGCAGCCCGGAAAAGGCAGCCGCTTTCCCTGCTTAAAAAGCGTGGGCAGGGCTGGCTGAAGTCTGGGGGCAGGTCTGAAACGAGGTGTGTGGGACAGTAAGAATGGCACACTCATTCATTCATTCATTGGATATTTATCGAGGGCCTGTTCTGTGCCAGGCACTGGGGTGACAGCAATGAGGCCAGCAGTTTTGAATTGGAGGGTAGGCGTAGAGGGTGTAGTCACTAGTGATAAGATAATATATACTAGCCGCTGCCCAACAGAACTTTCTGAGACGATGGAAATGTTCTGTATTTGTGCTGCCCAACACGATAGCCACAAAGCACATGTGACCAGTGAAGCCTGAAGGGCTGGGATATTTTATTTGATTTAATTGCAATCCATTTAAATGTAAATAGCTACACGTAGCTAGTGGCTGCTGTTTGGGACTGCGCAGCACTGACCATGGAGGGAGGGAGCCCAGCTGGGACGGGGAGAGGGCAGGTAGGTGTGACCGAGATAGTGGCGCTGAAGAGGAGTAGACATCGGACGCATTCCGTGGGCTGTGAAGCCCTAGTGACTTTGTATTCTTTTTCCTAAAAAAGAATTGATTGTTTTTACAGAGAGGAAGAGAGAGGGATAGAGAGTTAGAAACATCGACGAGAGAGAAACACTGATCAGCTGCCTCGTGCACACTCCCCACTGGGGATGTGCTCGCAACCAAGGTACATGCCCTCGACTGGAATCGGACCTGGGACTCTTGAGTCCACAGCCTGACGCTCTATCCACTGAGCCAAACTGGTTTCAGTGTGACTATATTCTTGCTGTTGTTTTCTTAAAGAGGATGCCAAAGCGTTGGGCCCTACAAAAGCTGGACCTGCCGCGGGAAGGCACTAACTAGGACTCATTTAGGCAGAGGGCAGAGCATGTGCCGTCAAAAGGGAATGACAGGGGGCAGAGCATGTGCCGTCAAAGGGAATGGCAGGGGGCAGAGCATGTGCCGTCAAAGGGAATGGCAGGGGGCAGAGCATGTGCCGTCAAAGGGAATGACCAGGATCCAAGGCGGTGCCGGAGAGCTCAGCAGCCCAGCAGCCCCAGGGGCGGTGAGGACTCCTCACTCCGGGGCCACTAGTGAGGCGCCGATCCTGCCAGCTGCTGACTCGGCCTCCTTCTGTGCCAATTCTCTCCGCTCCTGAGTCCTGCCTACCCCAGGTTTCTGCTTTTCCACAGCTTCAGCTTGTCATGACCCCTGTGACTCCTCTCTGTGTTTCCTTCGAGTGTCAGCTTCTTCTTCTTTTTTTTTTTTTTTTTAATATATTTTATTGATTTTTTACAGAGAGGAGGAGAGAGGGATAGAGAGCTAGAAACATCGATGAGAGAGAAACATCGACCAGCTGCCTCTTGCACATCCCCTACCGGGGATGTGCCCGCAACCAAGGTACATGCCCTTGACCGGAATCGAACCCGGGACCTTTCAGTCCGCAGACCGACGCTCTACCACTGAGCCAAACCGGTTTCGGCAAGTGTCAGCTTCTTATGGCCTTGTTCTCTGGTCTGTACAGGAGAGAGGATCTGACACACCCGCCTTGTCTGACCCTGGAGCAGGCTCTGTGGTGGCAGCTAGTGGGTGAGCTGGCGGGGTCAGAGGTCTCCTGCTGGTCTGATCAGCTATGCCTGCGGAGGGGTACAGGTATGACTGGTCAGGAATTGTGATTCTTCATGGGGACAGGGGTGGTAGCATGGTTGACACGATCCTTTCTTTCTCTGTCGCTGTTATTCCTCCCTTTATAAGCAAGATCCTGGAAAGCATGTGCTTATATGTTCTTCTTCACTTCCTCTTCTTTCTGTCACACAAATTATTCCTGTCACTTTTTTTCATACCTACTTTGCATTTAAAATTTCAAACCCACATAGAAGTTGAAAGAAAGAACAATGGCCGACCTTGATAGGGGGTGTGCAAGAGGCAGCTGGTCGATGTTTCTCTCTCATCAACGTTTCTAGCTCTCTATCTCTCTCCCTTCCTCTCTGTAAAAAATCAATAATATATATTTAAAAAAGAAAAAGAAAAAAAGAAACTCTGAGCTGTCTGGCAGCAGACAATCCTATAAAAAGAAAGAAAGGAAGGAAGGAAGGAAGGAAGGAAGGAAGGAAGGAAGGAAGGAAGGAAGGAAGGAAAGGAGAACAATGACTCCCCAGACCTTTTACACGACCAGAGTTCTTAACCTCGCCACTATTACAACAGTTAGGGCTGGACATTCATCGTGTGGGCCTGTCCTGTGCATTGTGGGCTGTTTAGCAGCACTCCTGACCTCTGCCCACTCGATGCTGGTAGCTTCAACTGAGACAACCAAGCGTGTCTCCAGACATCACCAAAGTCCCATGGGGGTCAAAAATCACCCCCAGTTAAGAACATTGGCCCAGATGTTTTTTCACATTTGCATATACACACACTCTGTGTGTATAAATATATTCATAGGTAATACAAGTATATATTATATACACATGTAATACAAATACATACATGCATATATACATATAGCAGACATATATTATCTATATATTTTTTATGTACATACTAGAGGCCCAGTGCACAAATTCGTGCACCATTGGGGTCTCTCGGCCTGGCCTGTGGAATCAGGCTGAAACTGGCTCTCAGACATCCCCTGAGGGGTCCTGGATATCAAGAGGGAGCAGGCCAGACCAAAGGACCCCACCAGTACATGATCGGGGCCAGGGAGGGATGCAGGAGGTTGGCCAGCTGTGGAGGGACCATGGGAGAGCTTCAGGGCATGTCCAGCCTGACTTGCTCAGTCCTGATGGATCAGACCCCAGCAGCAAGCTAACCTACCAGTCGGAGCACCTGCCCCCTGATGGTCAGTGCATGTCATAGTAAGTGGTTGAGCTGCCTTAGCATATTATTAGCATATTATGCTTTGATTGGTTGACTGGATGACAAGACACCTAGCATATTAGGCTTTTATTATATAGGATAATCATAGATAGTGATCACTTGTGGAAAAAAATAACTTTGTACGACTAAAAAGGAAGGGGAAAGACCCACCACCAATGCCATCAGTTGTACGACACATGGTGCTCAAATGTACGGAATTTGGTAATTGCTGACACAATGCCCAGTTTGTGCTCATGCCCTTCTCAAGACCCCCTGCTGCATTGGCCTCTTTGCCAGGTCTCTCCTGGGTCCCCTCCTCTCTCTGGTACATCTGTTTTCACTTCTCCTCTTCCTGTCTGCAGGGTTCTCCCCATGCAGCCCATCTGGGCTATGCTCTGTACCACTGAGGAGGAAACTGGCCTTGCAAGGTATGTCAAGCCATAAAACTGTGAACAATGCACTGCCCTGGGTGGGGGGGAGAAAGGATCTTTATCGCTGGCCCCAGGACAGATTATTGGATATGGCCTGGGGACCCCCAACACCTGGGGGCCTTCCTGTACTCCCACGAAAGGGGGCAGAACCATATCTGCAAGACAAAGACCCCAGAAGTTTATAAAAAGTGAAGCCCTCTGCATGTTTCTTCACTCTGATTTGGAAATTATCCCAGGAGTCCACTAGCGTTAATAAACGGGGTCCCTCCCTTTCTCTAGGAAGCGTGCTTGGTATTTCTTCAGTCCTCTGTAACACTCCG